GTAAGTTTGGAGGTTGCTCCCCAATGCGGCTCAAAATATCGCCCTTGCCACCACGCCGAGTAGGATACCGACACGCAATTGATGCCCAATTCTCCGCTGAGGCTTTCAACAGTATTGGATACGGTCCTGATGACGTGGCGCTTAGTATCCACCGCGTGGCAATAACTCGTCACGATGCACAATCCGTTGGTCCGATTCAAGAACTTCGACAAGCGGCTCAAGAATCGCTGAACTTCCTCCGGGCACGTAGGATAGTTTGTATTCCAAGAAACGTGACGTCCTCGAGAATCAAGATCCAAAACGTTGTGGAAGTCCAAGCTCGCCCCGTAATGATACTGAGCAATGAATGGATTGTCGTGTCAAGCCAACCAAACGGCAAGTGTCCGGGTCCACGATCTCCACCTGAGTCCCAGAAAAGTCAATCCGAATAGTCGGATCAATCTCCGGAAGATACTCCTCCTCTGCTTCGGCTTCAGCTGCACGTTTGGCGGGAATAGAAGACGATGAAGCCGATGCCTGCTCTGCTACCTTAGGAGCCGCCTTGACCTTAGGCCGAGCTTTGGTGAGTACAACCTTTGGCGGAACTTCCGGAGGAGATTTGACAGGCACAGGGGAAACCACTACAGGAGTAGGGTCCTTCGGGGGAGTCTTAGGGCCAGGAACTGAAGACGCAGAAGGCTTTGCGGGAACCGACGGAGCAGGTGGCCTTGACGACGGTTTAGGGGACGGCGGAGGAGGGGTCAGCCTCCCGTACCCCGGAGCTGCGCCCGTCGCCTTCGGAATCAAAGGCTGATGCCCAACCGGCTCCGACAATTTCGCCCTCACCTTAGGCGTAGGAGCAAGCCTTTGCCCAGATGTAGACGAAGAAGCAGTAGAAGTGGCAATAGGTTCAACTGGCACTTCCACAAACTCCTCCTCGGGAAGTGGCGTCTCGGGTACTGACTCCTCAGGATAAGCATTATTCTGAGGTGGCGGTACACCGAAAGCCCTTACCGTCCCGTCTGGCCGCAGGAATGGCACCTGTAAAAATGAGGTATAGATACCCGGGTTGGCCGACTCTGACTCAGCGAAAACGAAGCGCTGCCACGCCTCCCTCTTACGTCTGGCAGACTTTCCTGCGCGACTGCCACGACGTTGCTGAGGTGGGCGAGGCAAGCGCTCCGGTTCCCTGGGGGGATTCACGTCCATGAGCGCCGAATGCAATCGAAGACTACTTCACCCAGGAAACAAGAGAATACGGCTGATAACCAGTTATTCCGGACCCAAACACAAACACCGTTATGTTAAGGTCGGAACGAAAAGGAAGGGGAGGGAAACCACAAAAGGAAGCCCGACCCCGAACGAAGAAGCCCTGCTTAGCTCGGCTCCTTTTCATCTTGAGCCAAAAGGTTACAGTATGGCTTAGCTGCAGAGTCAGACAAGTAGTTTACATGCAGAGGGGCCGTAAATCTTCAACTACAAAGCCTGTAGCAACAAAGCTCCACCCGTGAACCCTGAACCTGATTAAAACCTATCAGACCCCATTAAATTCAACCCTAGCATAAACAGCTTGTTAAACTCTACAAGCCCTGTAGGAGCCCTACCAGACACGCTTATGAGACTCCATTGACAACCGTAATTTTGCAAAACCCCTGCTAAAGGACTAGAAGGGCCTTCGCGATCAGACAAGGGTTTTGGGGTAAGCGGATACCATTGGTAAGTTTTCCGGACCCTATCCACTAAACATCACATAACCTTCAGCCCCCTTCAAAAAAGGGATGCGTAGACAAGGCCCCTTCCTACTCGCCCAACCCTAAATCCTAAACCCTAGACGCTAAACCCTAAACCCTGAATGCTAAACCCTGACCCCCAAATCCTAAACCCTATAAGTCCTAAGCCCTAACCCCCAAACCCTAAACCCAAAATCCTAAACCCTAAGCCCTAAACCCTGAACCTTAAACCCTAAATCCTAAAACCCTAAATCCTACCCTAAACCCGAAACCCGAAATTCTACACCCTAAACCCTAAACCCTAAACCCCAAACCGTTCCTGGAACTCCGCCAGTGGCAGCGTCAGCGCCTTTTGCGGGGAGCCCGGCGTCCAGAGTTCCACCTGGTCCCTGGGCGCGCTCTCAAGCAGAGACAGGAGGCTTAGGATTTAGGTTTAGGGTTTATAGGGTTTAGGATTTAGGGTATATAGGGTTTAGGGTTTAGGGTTTAGGGTTTGGGGTTTAGGATTTTTTTGGGGGGGATCAAAGGCTCGTAAGGTTTAGGGCTTGGGGTTTAGGAGTTGGTGGGTTTATGGGGGGGTAGAAAAAGGCGCGTAAGGTTTAGGGCTTGGGGTTTAGGAGTTGTTGGGTTCATGGGGCGTCATAACAGGTGAGGTTTCGGGCTTCGGGGGTCAAAAGTTTTTCAGGTTTAGGACTTGGGGTTCCAAGACTTCTGGAGTAATCCGATTCTGAGATTCTAAGACCCAAGCCCTAAAACCCAGCTTAGTATGGAATGATTATGCTTCCCTTAGAGGAACTCTTAAAAGGAACTCCAAACCCAAGCAGCTCGCAAGGCTTTCGAAGACCCTTGGGGACCTAATGACCCTTATAAGTAGGGGCCCCATGCCCTTATACTATGAGTCCCTACATGGTATATGAACCTTACACCCTAAACCCTCAACATTAAACCCTAAAGCTTATAAACCCTAAACCCTAAAACCCTAAAACCCTAAAACCCTAAAGCCCTAAAACCTTAAACCTAAAACCCTAAAGCCCTAGACCCTAAACCCCAAACCCTATAAGCCCTTTTTGGGGGTTCCTTTCGTCCTTACTTAGTTGCTGAGTTCATAAGCCCAGAAAAGTGTACACTTTCAGTTTTATAGTAGGTAATATTATCCCAAAAAGTGTAACGTGTATCCACTCAGCTACTGAGCTTAAGGACCAGACCTCCGCTCTCCGAACTGCGCCGCGAAGACGAGCTCACCTCGCCTGGCCAGCTTAGGTAGTACTATTAGGGGTACCCCTTAAAGGGTACTGGGGTGTAGGATAGTCGTCACTAGGTGGTATTAGGGTTTAGGGTTTAGGGTTTAGGGTTTTTGGGTTTTAGGGTTTAGGGTTTAGGGTTTAGGGTTTTAGGGTTTTAAGGTTTACGGTTTAGGGTTTAGGGGTACCCCTTAAAGGGTACCCCTTCTGAACCCTACTTTTGGCTCTCTTAAAAGGGACCTTATTGAGAGGGTCTATATCCCCAAGGGTCCCCCTAATCCTAACTCCCACAGCTGCAACGGGGACATAAATAGCGATCGGGGGTTTTGGGGTTTAGGGGCTTTGGGTTTTAGGGTTTTGGGTTTAGGGTTTAGGGTTTACGGCTTAGGGTTTTAGTTTAGGGTTTAGGGCTTGGGGAAGGCCAGGACGAAGCTGCTTTGGGGCTCTTAGCGCTGTTCGGGCTTCGAAAGTTG